CTGATAACTAAAAATTATTCCACAACACACACACACCCACCCACCCACTTTCAATGGTGTAATTTGGTCGTAGGAAGGTACAGAGTTGCTCTCATGTGAATCCCACCTACTCATATCAGTATCCTTATGACCCACGTCACAACTGGTTAGTCTTAATTTCTACCAACACATTCCTCAAGCATCCCTGCTCTTCTGCTCATCTACATAAATGCAATAATAATACCTCCCACTTTGAACACTTGCAGAGTGTCGGGCATTACACAAGATGTGCACAGCACTATTTCCCACCTGCTCAAGGAAGGAGACATTAAAAACTCCCTTTTACAGAAAGAAAAGAGAAGAAGTACAAACAACTCAATGATCACATAGTAAAGGGCAGAGCGAGGATGTGAACGGAGATGTCTGAAACTGCCAAGTCACAACCCCTTTTCCCCGAAAGTGAGGTACAAAGAAGCCTGCTTATCACTAACTATGAACAAACATATTTTCCCTGCAAAGCAACACAGCCCATGCCAAACCCAGAGGCTGAACACACAGTTCCAGCTCCCACAACCCATGTAACAAAATGACCATGTCCATCTGTGTTTATAAAATATATTTTTAAAGATTTTATTATTTAATTATTTATTTGACAGACAGAGATCACAAGTAGGCAGAGAGGCAGGCAGAGAGAGAGGAGGGAAGCAGGCTCCCCGCTGAGCAGAGACCCTGATGTGGGGCTCAATCCCAGGACCCTGAGATCATGACCTGAGCCAAAGGCAGAGGCTTAATCCACTGAGCCACCCAGGGGCCCCTATAAAATATTTTATTTCAGAATTAAACTATCTATTTCTAATCCTTCCCACTATTACTTTTCTCCTTTCCAAAAATGATAAATAATATCTATGTGCATAAGAGTAAGAAGGTGTAACAGAAAAGAAATAACTTTGAACACTGTTAATGCATCCTTCAACAGATGAAGCCTCCTTCCACTGAGAGCTACAGCAGGGGCAAGACAAAGGGGACACCTCCGATGAGGCATCATCTATAATTCTTTGAGTGTATGTCAGTGTGATTTCGAAATAACACATACCACATAGGGAGAAATGTATTATGCTGTAGAGAAAAAAAAATTATATTTAGATAGCTATACCCATACATATTTCAAAAGTAACACCGTGGCTTTGCTCTAATTTTTATCCAGTATCTCTAAAGGGAATTTTAGAAATTATTCCAGGATTTGCATAATTACACAAGTGTGATTTTTTTTGTTTGTTTTGTTTTCTCAGAACACTAGTTGGTTGGTTAATTCTTTTTGTGTGCTTTATAGTCTCCTGTTCTGCTGAGTTCTCTCCTAAGCTCTGGCCACTTCATTTAAGGGAAGCAAAAGGTAGTGATGCCACTGTGATTCTGCTCTTCCTGGACCAATCTGTCCTGTCTAAGCCAGCTCCCCTCCCTTGCACTGAAAATGGTTAAGTTGCCTCTTTAGGCAAGACGTTAGGAAACGCCAACCAGCACTGGAATGCATGGGTCAAGGGCATGTGAATTAAAATGTACAATTCCAGTTTTGACCCAGAAACAGACTCAAATCATAGACTTAAAGATGGGTGGGACAGTACAGTCATGTTAAAAGAAAAAGAGTATAAAAATATTTTTAAAGCACTCAACAACGATCAGATAGTATTATAATTATTAGAGATTTCATAATATAGAAGATTTTTGTCTGGCTTCCCCCCCACTATGTAGTATTTGTAAGAAAAAAGTCAGAATGGCTACTCAATAATCATAAATAATTCTGGAAATCTTTAAAGTGCCCAGTTTCTGCTGATGTGGGAAAATCTGTCACTGGATATTCATTTGGGAGGATAAACAACCATTTTATATTAGATCGTAGTTTTTATTTTGTGTTTAACGCTCAAGAGCCACAGAACACCTGCATTAAAGAGACCTGTTCCACTTCTCACTTCTCTGTGAACTTCTTTCTACAGGAAAAAAGAAAAACCTTATGCATCTGTTTAAACACAATGACAGTTAATCTGAACATCTATCATTAGGCAAAATGACTAGAGCAGATATGTGCAGAAAAAATTTCAACATCAATGTTAGAGAAATGTTTTGTTTTGTTTTTAAATACACAAGCTTCTGCAAAGGCCTGGCTTTGAAGGTTGCCTTGCCCAGATATAAAAATAGATGGCTAAAATGTAAAAATCGATTGTAATGACAAACAAATCATTGCACTCTCCATAACCAGGATATTACAGAAACCTGAATATTTGTTTTAGTAGCACCGTGGGAGTAGGCAGACCTGAAAAACCCTCCAATAACCTTGAAAATAACCAGTTCTTGTTAAAAACTGAATGCCCAAAACAGGCGACACTAACCCAGTCCCTTTTTGTCCCTACAAGTACAAGGATCAGACGGCGTCTGACAGTCGCTGGGGAGTGGGTTGCCTTTCCTAAGTAGCAGCCAACAAGTGAGGGGCTACTCGGGATCAGCCCTCCGGTCTTCCCAGGAGCTCTCGCTCTAGCTCTCTTGCACGCAGGGGACGAGGTCCGAGGTCCTTGGGCTTCACATTTCCTTAGGTCGGCTTTCCACAAGGGTGGGGGAAGCAACAGGCTCCAGTCCGAGCTGGGGGCTTCCACCGCACCCCCACCCACCCACCCACATACAGGTTAGCCTTCCTTTTGTTAGCCTGGAGGATGCGTGGGAATCCAGAAGCCTAAGCAAGAAAGGAAAGGCGGCCCAGGACTCTGGAGCAAGACGAGGGGCGAGCGGGGGCTAGCATCTGAGTCTCTGAAACCAGCTCTCCTTCCGGGAAGGTCCGGTCCCGCGAGCTAGCCAGGGCGCGGGGTCTCACGGAGCGCCGAGGAACAAGTCAGAGGATGGGAGCCAGAAGCCCAGGGCCGTGCGGGTACCCGGTCCTCAGGCAGCGTTCCCAGCTCCGCCCTGCACCCCTGGCAACCTTCGCGCTGCTCTGGAGTCTCCCGTGGCAGAGCTCAGAGCAGTCCCACTGATGGACTTTGCGGTGTAGACCACCAGGGATTAGACGGAATGACACAACCCGGGCCCCCGCAACCCCGGGGGCATCCCGGGCTGCTGAGCTGGGTTCTGCCAGGGCCGAAGCTCAGGGCGAGGTGGGTGACCAACAGCCGAAAATCCCTGCTGTCACAACACTCAGCTCAGACTGGATCGAGCTGGCAGCAGGTAACCACCTGCCCAACCCTTCCAACAGTCTTGGCGAGTTGCTACCCGAAGAGGAGGCGGGGAGGAGAAAGAGGCTAGGGTGGAGGAAGGAGTGGGATGGGGAGGTGGGGAGAGGGGACACCGCGGAGAGAGGAAGAGAGTGCCTTCTGATCCTCGTGCCACTCTCCAGGCCTCCTGCCCCGTCCGCACGAACAACCGCAGATTGGCCCTCAGACTGAAAGCCCCTTGTAAACTCCTGCACTGGCTTCCACTGGGCAAACAGTAAACGTGCCAGGCACGGTGCCAGGCACTTCAGATACTCAAGACGATTCCCCAGACCGTATGTATGGAAGGGACCAGCACAATCGCGGCGCAGTTTCCCCCCTGTGGCTCTCCCAAAGCCTTTTCCGTTTTGAATTTTAAGCAAACTGGTTGAGGGAGACGTCCACGTAAACTTCGTGCACGCTGCGCTCCTCACCTCCGGGCGTGGTTGTTAAGGATCCTTGCAAAATGGTCCTGCCTCGAAACTCAAAAGGCAAAGAAAGACCAGCACATGCGCCCCGGACCCCTCCGGCTGCCCGAGGACGCTGTGTCTTCTCCAGGGACTATTTTCACCCGAAAGCCTTCTCTGGCTTTCCGCGGAGGTTTCTGACAACTTAATACCCCACTACAAAATCCTTCCAAGTAGCTGGGATTAGACCCTCAAGAAACACTCTAGAGCCTCCCTGTCGATTACTTGCACAAATAAAACACCTGGCACAGGTATGATCTTGAGTCCTGAACCTCTAGCAAACTGCAGAAAGGTGGCTTTTTTCTGCGAAGGTCATGCTTTTTTGTAAAGGCAGCTGCTGCTTGGTAAAAGGTGTTCTGTTTTCTAGCTCTGGTGGGGTAAGCGATAAGTAAGGCGCTGTCAGTCTTTCCTAGAAGTGGGATTCAGGGTAACAGGCACCTTCTATTACAAAAGCACCTCAGAAACTCTCACTCTAGGCAGGATGCCAGTCATTAGACCTGACACCCAGTTGTTTTTAACGACCCGCCGGCCCTGCAGAAATAGTGAGATCGACTGAGAGTCGAAGACCCTCCCTTCAGGCCTTCCCTTAACCCTCAGCGGTCCTAGGAGTCCCAGTTTGGCTCTCTAGCCCTTTAAAGATCTGTAAGGGCGGGCGCCTAGACGGCGGAGCTGCGTCTTGGTCCTCTATGGCCCCAGCATCCAGCGCTTTTGTAGTACGGGCTTTTGCGGAATAAAAGAAAGTGAGCAACGCGAGGGTACTGTTTCCCTGCACCTTCTAACTTCTTCTCTTTTTAGAACGGCCAGAGTCCTTCCCTTCTTCCCTCACAATTGCTGGGATACGGGGTGGGGGCGAAATGGCTTCGGGACCTTGTGGGTACACCAGGTGCTTTGCGTCTGCGGACGCGGGCGCAGGGGGACTCTGGTTCGATGCTGCGCTGTACCTGGGAAGGCAGTCTACGACCGCCTTCCAGGCAGATTGGCATCCCTCGGGCACAAGTCAATACTCTACGAAAGAAATTCCACGTGTAACTAAATTCAACACAGAGTCTTGAGCACATGCCAAACCTGGCAGTCAGAACCTGGACCGTTCTGCGAGACCCCGGTCGTGCGCCCCGGCGCGGGAAGTGAGGGAGCTCAGCTGTGGCACTAGGCGACAACACGCGTCTGACTCCGTGACTCCGCTGGTACAGGAACAGAGGCGCGGTCCTCCCCAACCGCGTTCCAGAACGCTATAGCCCTTAACTTAGGTTTGCTCGGTAGCCTGGGCTCCTCCCCAGGTGCCCCCTCTAGCCTCCCCAAGTAACCACGGCTAGCGGACCGCACTCACCTACTGCCAGGCAGATGGGGAGCAGCAGCCTGAAGATGAGCCCGCACACCACTTCCGAGGCCATCGCGTCGGTCCGGCGAGTCCAAGCACGGGGGAGAATTTCGAGGGTCCCTAAGACTGGGGCGTCAGGTCCATGTCCACCTAGGGCCTCGGGCGGCGGGCGGCTCGCAGCCGACCCAGCATCGCCTCGCAGAGGGCCGCCGCGCTGGCCGCCCCGAGGGCGCGCTCCCCGGGGTGTGGGCCGCCCCTCACCCGGCTCTCGCTCACCCCTTGCAGGTCTCTCAGCCGCCCTTGGCCGATCTCTCCCCGACGCCTCGCCGGGCGCTCGGCCTCCCCTAACCAGGCTCTAGGTAGCCCCCTCGCCAAGCGCCCGACCCCCCCACGACCGGCCCATGAAGTGTGGAATCCCCAGTCCAGCGGCGGCGGCCTCTTCAGCAGGGAGCTGGGGCCAGAACCCTGCACGGGGCACTTCGGAGGGTCCCGGGGGGGCGGCGCAGCGAGGAAAGGGGCCAGGAGGGGCGAGTTGTCCTTTAGCTTGGCTCCTGGAGCGTCGCTCAGGGACGGGAGGGCAGTTTTCTTCCCGGAATCCCCACCGGAGCCAACTTGCCTCTGCGGCCGGCCGCCGGCCCCCTGCCCACGCAGGCTGCGGCGCGCCGCCTTCGGCCCGGACTCCCGGAGCTGCCCGAGGTCCCGAGCCGCCCCGTGGCAGATCGTTGAGCGGCGGTGCAGCTCAGCCTCTGCACCCCCCAGATTCGTGCCGAAGAGACCCGGGTGGGAGCGGCAAGGCGCGCAGAACCATCCCCGACTGCACGGGGCTCGAGCTATCGGTCCGGGGGTGGCGCTACGAGTCCCTCCTTCACTAGGAGGAATCGTGCGAGCGTGGGCAGAAATCGAGACGAAAGCACATAGCCAGTGGGTCTGGCTCCAATTCCCTCCTCCACGGCCTCAATTTAAAAAAAATAAAATGAAAACCAAACGCCGTCCGGATGCCAGCGCGCCCCCCGCCCGCGGCGGTGCAACCTCGCCCTGGCGGCGCAGCCCTGGCTTCCCCGCGGGCGCGCACTTCTCTGCCTTCAATGAAACTTTCGAAGCCTCACTCCGGGGACGGGCGTGCCCACGGACCAATGGGACCGCGGCTCCGGAGACGGCGCGCGGAGAGCCCGCCCCTGCGCTGAAGCTCTCGAGTCGGGCGCGGAGCACCGACGCGGCGAGCGCGCCCCCACCCGCGGCGCCGGCGCGCAGAGAGAAGCGCGGCCTCTCCCGCCGCGTGGACTTTTAAGCGTCGGCTTGCCCCTGCTCGGCGCCTTTCCACCGCAGCTGGCTCCAGCAGACCCTCAGCCCTGCTCCGTCCGGTCATTCTGCGGGAAACAGAAGCCACACGTCCTGGCATCCCCGTCCACAGGGAGTGCCCCTGAGCTTACACAAACCCAGAGAATCGTTGGGTGCGCCAGGAAAACTTCACAGGTGTGGCACAAGAGTAGTCGGGGGCTTGGACAACTTTGTGGGACTGTCACTTGTGCCAAGTTCACGCGTACACTTGCATCGATTAAGAAAAATAGAACCCGGAATCAATCCAGACCAATGACCTCTTGTGAAGTCATTGTGAGAAGTTTCAAAGCCGAATGGGCTCTGAGAAATGCCCCGTCTTACCGAGAATGGGTGTGGGCGTTCAGATATGTACCCACTTAGTACATTCTGGAGAACTTTTCTTTTCGCCTCAGATTTGTTACTTGCTATGACTCCTGGGGAAAAGAGTATACGGTTTCCCTTTCCTCCTAATAACATCCCTTTTTTTCCTTGTTCCCTGGGTGAGATCTAGAGAAATCGGTAGCCGCTGGGAGACGCCAGTGTTTCCGGGTCCCTCACTTCCCCCATTATCCAAGAATTGGGGAGATCTGCTCCTGCTGGAGCGCTGTTGAGATCCTCAGAAGACAGATGATTTTCTGATCTGTAGGGAGGACCATTCAGAGTTGTTTTTTTTCCACCAAGAGGACGAGAGGGAAGAATTTAAGTTCGTTCAGCACCAGCATTCTAGGCTTGAATTGGAGATGATGGAAAAATCTGCTGATGAAACTTATGCAAACCTTGGTTCTCTGTGTTAACCATGTCTCCCTTGAGATAGAGCAAACCTGTGTTCTAAGTTCAGATGCCTTCCCAAATTCTGTGAGAATGACAAACTGAACCATTACTTTTTTAATGAAGACTGGAGGTAGCAAAATCTTGTGAAGATACCCCAAAACTTAGACCATGTGTATGCCCTGGAGCTCTGAAGAAGCCTGGATATCTAAACCCCGAATGTATTCATGAGCCTAAAAGTAGGGGTGGAGACAATAGAAACTTAAAATTAACAGCAAATCACTGACTACCACCAAGAACTGTTTTGTGTTTTGCAGAATCTGCCTAGCATGTGGATGGATGTTCATAGACGGTGTTCTCTTCCGCCCCCGCCCCAACTTGTTTTGGACCTAAGAAGTCTCAGAGCCCTCCTGAATTTTAAATAGTATCATGTAACTACATGAATGTTCAGTTTTCTCTGAATATTTCCTCACATCCTTTCTAAGCTTTCCATACACCAGCCATGTAGATGCCTTCAAAATAACTAACATGGATGCTTAAGTTAGAAGACACAAGAAACCTAGCAGATAGATGATCTTACCAAATGTATTACTTGCTTTCTCTGCCACATTGTGTACCAATATGGCTGTTAAGTTTTTAAAGATACTAAGACCTGGATCCCTCTTAGTCTTACCAGCACATGCACCTAAGGAGTTTTGTCTAAACTATACGTATAAAGTTTTTTCCATCTTGGCTGCATGTGACTGTCACCTGAAAAGCCCCGTATGGAATTTCGGTGCTCAGTCTCCACACCCAGAGATTCTGATTTAATCCTCCACACCCTCCCCTCCATGCCTATATTTTTGTGAAAGCTCTCATGTGATTCTCAGGTATGCAGTCTGAGTAGAAAATCACCGTCCTCATTTACATATCAGAATTCAGAAGATGTGCTTTAAGTTTTCAATATGGGCATCACCAAACCAAATCCACCTTCCAGGGGGCTACATTTTTGTAATGGGGTGACAAAAAATGCATATCAGTAGCCAGTGGCATTGTCTTTTTAAGGGCTATTTTACCCTAAAATTCACCTAAATTGAGAAGTGGTAGGTATGTAATACCTACCTTGTTTTTAAAGACAGCCTTGTTTTTAAAGACTCGCTAGTCCACTAGAATATTGATACCATTGGTCAGGACTCTAGCGTGGCTAGAGACCTTAATCCTCAATCTGAGCATGAAACCCAGTATGAGGTAGAAAATATTGGGGGGGAGAAAATTAACTACATAGAAAACTCATTAACACATTATTTTGATAATTGATGAGTGCCTAAAGCACATGACCCCAAGTTTAGCACAGGTGATGAATTAAGCACCAGTCACCACATGCCTCTCTGCATCTATGTGGACAATCAATGCAACAGCTCCTTTTGATCATTACAGAGTTTAGTGCCTTGGAGTCCTCTTCCAAGTTGAAGAAAGTCATAAAACCTGCATGATATGTAATGGGTATAAACAGAGAGAGACAATTTATAGAGTGCTAAGCAACGTGTCTGGTGCATAGTAATCAGTGACTATTAACTGCCATTATTACCATTATTATAACTGTTGTCATCGCTATTGCTGGAAAACAAGGACTGGTTCTGTATTTCTGAGACTGTCACACTAAGCACAGTAACCTGCTCCCATACTCAGGAAGATGCAGGGGATCTAAGTAATATGTTTAAAAACCGTGGCACAGTTGCATAATAGATCATTTCCTAAGTGTCTGAGTTTTAGCCATAAACTTTGTGCCTTGAGTTTGTTTCGTCTTGAGTTTGTGCCTTGTGTGGGTTTCATCTTACCTGTTTAGATACGATCTTTTCTGAACTTGGTTTAATGCTACACTTGGTTTAATATTTCTGAATGTTTCATTCAGAAACACCATCTTCAACCCTGGTGCTAATTTTCTCTAGCATGCTCAGTATTCAAACACTGGCCCATATCATGTATTCCCCTATGTCATTTATTATGCCCTCAAATGCTTTGTTAGCTTCTTTTGGAAGATCTCAGGGGTGGGTATCATCTCAAATGGTCACTCCACAAACCCTATTTCCCAGAGGAACATAAAGTTGTCAACCTGGCATTTTCTTCTCCCAGCGACACCTGCCAAAATTCCTCGGCACCATCTAGCCTTACAGAGGATGGGATGCCTGCCTCCTGCCAGCTACAGGATGTCTTCTAGCATTGGTAACATGTTTCCCTTAGGTATGTATCCATACAACATTTTTAGATGTATCCATTTCTATGTTTTAATTTATAAGTCACAATATTTATTTAGAAGTCATTTTAGTTAGACATTAGTTAGGAGTCACATAGTTTGGGGCTCCTATACTTGAAAAAATTTGGAAGCAGAACAGAAGCTTTTGCAACTTTTTTGAGCTGTAGATTTAATGTTTACAGTGGAAGTATTTTCAAGGTCCCTGTATTCCAAAAACCTAGATCACTTCTAATAATTTGTAAGAGACATCACCGTGTTATACCTCTGCTACAGAGGTTATCCCCCCAACAGTCTTTCCAGAGTCATCTACAGGGAAGGTGCATAAAACATCTTATGTAGCCAGCAGACTGCTGATTTTGTGTCAAGAACCTTGTAAAATCAGCTGACATGTATAAGTGTTTTATCTTTCCAGTCAGATTTTAGGCTTTCAGTGCACAGACAAAATTTCATCCACAAAGCAAGGCATAAAGCAGGCTACACAGCCAAGCATTGTTTCTAAATGAGTTGCATTCGATTTATTTGCTATTTATTTGCTTCCATGACACTACACACACATGTCCAAACACACAAAATATCTATTACTGGGTAAGAAAGAGCTCATATGAAAATAATGGAGCATGTAAAATTTTACTTTTTTTTTTTTTTTTTTTGCAAGGTTGACACATAAAGGAAGAGATTATAAACTCATGGGGAGGGTGTTCTGCCAAAGTTGATGACTTGCCTTGGGCACACAGGTCCCCAGATGGCTGACACTA